TTGATTGGTAATGACTTCAAAGTACCAACCTGTAACATAAGTAGTGACATAAATTGATTAGTTTAAGGGATTAATTAATACATGACGATTTAATTTAAGAGTTACTTGTGTAGTTAAGGGCAAATAGCAGTTTGCACCTGAAAGAGTTAAAAAAAATTAAATTGTACTCTTAAAGATCAATTATTTTAAATTATACCATCAATTAAATTAATTTGTAGCAATGTAAACCCCAATTATAACGTTCGTTGAGATTTTTATCAAATTGTCAGCCACGTTAGATGTATGTAATGACTTTTGTCGGGTTATGATGCTTCCTCTTTTCACGTGCGTCTTACATGTTTGTCAATCCTATAAAAATTGTCGTAGACTTTATGGTTAGGATTACAAATTTGGTCAAATAGATAGACACATTAAATGCCTGTGATCATTTTTGTTAGATTATTACCCTTCCCCTTTTTTTCATGTACATCTCATGTGGCTGTCAATTTGATAAAAATCACAATGAACATTATAATTGGGGTCACATTGCTACAATTTAATTTAATTGAGGGTGTAATTTAAAATAATTGATTTTTTGAGAGTATAAATTAAGAATTGTTTAATCTTTAGGGGTACAAACTGCCATTTGCCCTATAGTTAATGCAAACTATTTACTCTCTCTCTCTCTCACACACACACACACAGAGCATCAATCAGATGGGTGGAGCTCCTCTGTAGTTGGAAGTTAAACAACAAACTTTGTTGTTAAGTGGGACGGTGCCGTTTTGGCCAAGACTTCAGCACCCAACAAAGATAGCAACGACGTTGTCTTCCACCATCTTCCGCTTGTGCAGAACAAATCAACAAAATGCAAAAAACATATTGGTCCTTCCCTTCAAAATCAACAACCAGCCCCGCCTAAACAGCATCCAAAAAAACTCTGCATAGAACTTGTAATCACCAACAAAAATTCCAAAATTTCCATTGTTATTCTCTCTTTTTGTTTCTCTATAGTGGTTGATTGACACTTCAACCTCGTCTCCTAAGATTTCACACTCTCAGGTAATTTCTTCATTTTGTGTTTGTAATCTCTTGCATAACAAAGATCAATTAACAAAATAAAAAAACAACCAATTAGATGTTTTATGGTTTGAAATAAGCACAAAAGTAGCTGCCATTGGTGCATCCCCGTCATAATTCTAAATCTGAACTCTATTAAGCAACAGAGGCAATAAGCACATTAAGAAGCTCTTGCTTCAGTTGCAATTGGATCACGTAATCAACTTTGACATATTAGTAAAAACAACAAAGGTCTAACTAAACTTTCTACAAATCCAGCTGAAGAATTTGCTTCAAGTAAGTAATCTAGCTGAATAACAAGAACGACATGACGTTTTACAGAATATTCATTCATTCATAGCGTGCAGAGGAGAATATTCAACAACACTTTTCATGTAAATGATCCAGCTGAAGACTAGGAAGAACCACATCATCTTTTACAGAATATTCGATTATCCATGATGTGTAGATGAGAATACTCAGCAACGCTTTATTTCTAGGGAAAGACTTAAAAGATTCAATGAAAATTATAATTAATCACCAAAATAACTCAAATTGACTGCTCATAGGTCAAAAGTTAGTATCGTGGAACACTAAATACATGAAACAACTAAGAATTGAAAACTTCTTTTATAGCCTCTACAGTTGGTAATGCAATTAATTCTTCAATTTCAGATTNCATGAAACAACTAAGAATTGAAAACTTCTTTTATAGCCTCTACAGTTGGTAATGCAATTAATTCTTCAATTTTAGATCATTCTCTCTCATTTATCATATGGAGAATCAATAGAACTGATGTACATGCTTTAAACTCTCCTTTACATTTTGTTCAAAATATGGTTTAACAATTAGATTCATCAAATTCCAGAAACCATAGAAGCAGAAAAGTTCATAAATTCCAAGATCAAATATGCATTTTTTTTTATGAAATTCCAATTCATAAAATTCATAATTTTTTTAAAAAATTTCCTATAGAATCTTGATATAATTATGAGACTACCATCATTCTTTCTATTACGTTTTTGTGAGTATATTTGATTGTTTTATATACGGATGTTGGTGTTTTAGGCTTTGTTGAAACTGAATTATATAGGCTTTGATACATAAGATTTTATATTTAATTTACTAAAACTGAGTTTTTGATCTTATATATAATTAGTGTAACTGTTTGCTTAATGTAGGAGACCTAATGTATAGTGAAGATAGAATGCGTTAAGATTGATAAAGCAGACAATACTCCATATATGAGAATGCAATTTGACTCAGAAGAAGATGCTTATACGTTCTACAACAATTATGGTGGAACTGTGGGATTCAGTGTGAGAAAACCTTATCACAACAAGAGCTTGAAGGATGGNGAATGCAATTTGACTCAGAAGAAGATGCTTATACGTTCTACAACAATTATGGTGGAATTGTGGGATTCAGTGTGAGAAAACCTTATCACAACAAGAGCTTGAAGGATGGTGTATTAATTTACAGAAAATACGTTTGTTGTAAACAGGGACAAAGGAGTAAAAATCAAAGGGATTGAAAAACAACAAAGGCTCGGGTAGATACTCGAACAAATTGCCCACTCACATGTGCATATCCCTCAATAGAGATATTGGAAAATTTGTTGTTGTTAAATGGGAAGACCAACACAATCACATTTTGCACTTGGCGGAATGTATGCACATGATGTCATCCCAACGGAAAGTTACTGTAGCTCAGGGCATCGATGTTGATATTACTGAGGATTGTGGGATATCACTTAAGGCATCCTACGAGCTTTTGAGTACCCAAGCAGGTGGGAGAGAAAGCTTAGGGTTCACTCATCAAGACCAAAAAAATTACATTCGAGAAAGGAGGCAGCGAGACTTGAAATACGGTGAAGCGGGTAGTTTGTTGCAATATTTCCAAGCAGAAGCAGCTAAGAATCCATCATTTTATTATGGAGTCCAATTGGATGTCGAAGAACGCATAACAAATATTTTTTGGGCTGATTCAGGGATGATTATTGATTATGGCCCCTTTGGGGATGTTGTCACATTTGACACAACATTTCAAACAAACAAGGAGTATCGACCCTTAGGCATTTTGATTGGATTCAACTAGTTCAGGGAGACAGTGATATTTGGTGCGACATTATTATACGATAAAACTGCAGTATCATTTCAGTGGTTGTTTGAGACATTCCTATAAGCAGTGTCTGGGATGAAGCCTGTTACCATTCCTACAAGCATTGTCTGGGAAGAAGCCTGTTACCAGTGGTTGTCTAAGATATTGATGTTTTGGATTCTTATTTTTTTTAAATTGTGTCTTACGTCTTTGAATGCTTGTTTTGATGGTATCTCAATCGGATGAGCATAATTCACATATGAATGGATTTACCTACTCATGGGCATCAACTTATAGTCACTCAAATCCAATCTCAAGCATGTCTTCTCAAGTATCAATTGGTTCTCAAAATGCTTGGGTAAATGTTGACTCATGCTTCTTGGACAACGTCGTTGATTATTCTAATGAGGAGAATCGAGGTGGACAATGAATAGTTGTTATATTGGACTACTTGCTGATTGGGGGCTGATTGTTTGTGGTTTGTTGCTATAATTGATCTTGTTGTAATGATGTTGCTGCAATGTTGGATGATGCTGCAATGCTATTATCTTTGGTACTTGCTGATTGGGGGCTGACTGTTTGTGGTTTGTTGCTGCAATTGATCTTGTTGTAATGATGTTGCTGCAATGTTGGATGTTGCTGCAATTGATCTTGACAATTTGTTTTTGATCTTTTTGAAATGTGAACTTACAATGTATTCTTTTGCTATGGGGATGGTGGATATTCTATTTTGTTGTTTTAGAAGATCTGTCATCCCTTTGGAAACGCCTGTATACATGATTACATTTTTATTTTTTCATGGAATTGATCTCACTTATGTATGATTCATGGTGTTCAATGTATAGTTGTTATCTTAGACATGCAACATGCATAATGTTCAAACAACCAATGCACATTCATTCATTAGTTGAACCATGTTCAACCAATACACCAAAGCACCATGTTCAACCAACCAATACACATTCACTCATATCATGAACCATCTTCAACCAATACACCAATACATCAAACTAGTTCCATAAAGAGAAATTTTATTCCATGAATTTAGGAGATTACAAGAACCAAAGAATGGGAAAATTACAAAGAATCAATGAACAAGGGTTTAAAGAAATGGCTTTAATCCTTTAAAAAGACTCAAGCCATTTTATGTTACTCTAAGCATCATTCTCTCTGCCCAACTGGAAAGCCTTGCCTCCATACATCAGACCCATGCCCTTTGATCACAAAGCAGCTCCACCAACATTATGTTCATTATTCAACTCTTGAGGATAAGGAGGATCCAACCATGCAAATAAGCTTCATTTACCAATGTCATTCTTTGACACTACAAACAAAAAATAAAAATGTTGGTATAAGTTGGAACCAAAAATCCCAACAATACGTTTTTTATAACTTTTTAACTGATAAGCTGGTCAAACAGGCCGAAGAGTCACTCAGGACGGTCATGTACTTGAGCTGTTGGGGTCCTAACTGATGAACTTTTTAACTGAAATTTATAGACCCCAGCTCTGTTCATCAGTCAACATGAACTTTTTATCAGTCAAGATGTTATGAAATTTATAGACCCCAGCTCTGTTCATTCTCAAAATCATAGCATCACAGTATAACTGAACAACAACATTGCAGAGCATCCCAGCAGTACTGAACAGCAACAATGCAGAGCATTCCATGAGTTTTTGGAAGGTAAGTTCCATGACTTTTTATTAGTTGTGTAGTGAATAATTAGTACAGTTCACAAGCAATAAAAACCATTTTTGTGTTAGCTTATATTTGAATTATATAATCACTCATGAAAAAGGTTCATAATTTATTAAAATTTGAGAGAATGATTGCTCGAAGATATACTATTCAAATTTCAAAACTTACATTGATGTTAGGGCTTCGATTTCTCAAAAATGATTGTTGTCGACAGATTACTCGAAGATGATTGTGGTTGACAGATTGCTTGAAGACAACTATGATTCGAGCAAGAATCGGAATAAGAAAGACAATAGTTCTTGCCTGAGAAGAAGACGACCGAAGGGTTGTTGATTTGGGGCAAGCCGGATGAAAATCGGTTTTGTTTTAGGGCCCGAGACGACGTCGTTGTTGGAGAGACTGTTGGGTTATTTATTTTTGCTTTGACCGACACCGTTCCGCTTAACAGCACACTGTGTGCTGTTAAACCACTAACAGCAAAGGAGCCCCACCCCAATCAGATACAGAAACCGAAAAATGTCGAGCTCCCAATGTATACAGAACCCACCCAGCGTCAACTCAACATGTGGATCAGGGAGCGTCCAAGAACTTGGGGGTTTTCAAACTTACCTCACTGGACCAGAAGATTCCAAGGATGCCATCCTTTTAATTTCTGATGTTTTCGGTAACAACACATGCTTCGTTTTCTTCATCGATTTCTGTTTCTTGTGTTGAATATCATCGATCCTGCAATTTTTTATTTTTTATTTTTGGTTTTGGGAAGAAATTAAGTGGTTTCTTTTGAGATATATGTTTTGATTTCAAAATGTGATAAGCTTATCGAGAATTTAATTGATTAATTTGATTTACCGGCTTGAAATGTTTTGCAGGATGTGAAGCTCCGAACTTAAGGTATGGAGAATTTGTTATTGTTCTCTTTGATTATGTGAAACTTGACATATGTGATTCTGGAGTTGTTTAATTTGGGGATTAGTGGGTGTGTGATTAATAAAAAATAATCCGAGGGCCCCACAAAATTTATGTTTGGTTCATTTTTAAGGAAGGAGGATCAAACAATTGGGCTAATCCTGACCAATATAAATAACAAATTTTACCCCATGTACGGGGGTTTGATGAAACCCATGGGATATGAGTTTCAAAATTGGGAGATGGGAGTTGCAGATAAAAAGATTACTTTATCCAATAACTCATTCTTTTATTCACCTAATAATGAATATTTTAGTCAATTGAAAAACATGATTTGACATTAATCCATGAGCCCTATATGTATTGACCAATGCTAAGTAATTCAAATTTGGGATTCCAAATTAATAAGGACCATTGAATCATAAGTTGATGGAATCCACTTATCTAATTGTTCCCGTTCATTTGAGATGTCATTTGGAATCTCAAATTTGAGTTGCATATCATTGTTCATATCTATTTATTTCACTTACCAAACATGGTTTTATATAGGATTATTATTTGAATCCTATATACAAGTCATTGGGGTTGGGTTTGGAAGGGTTTTGTGAATACAATCCAATTTCTGTCGGTACCATATCAACTTTTTTTTAAAGTGTAAGTTACGTGCATGATCGATCTTAAAATATTATAACTGATCATGAAAGTAATAACTTTCAAAGGTTAAGTTACAATTTTTAATGGTCAAATTATAACTCAAAAATAATAAGTTGCAACTGGTAAGGGGAATTCCATGATCGATCATGGATGAACTTCTCCTATTTATAACTTTACTTTTCAATGGTATAACATTACTGTTAATAGTAACTTTCGGTAAGGTACCAAAAAAAAAATTTTGGTACCATTTCCCACCAATTACAAGTTCAGAAAAATTCATGCTTCTTTTTTTTAGTTATTTTTGTTCACAATGAAGAAGAGAGGGTAAATATGTGTTTACCAAGAAAATTTATCAATTGTTTTTATCAAATTAATGTGAATTATTGAATTAGTGGGTCAGATCTTATTAGAAAAAGTGGAAACTACTGATCTAATAGATCCCGTTGACTTGGTAAAATTTTTGGTATGTGTAGAAAAAAGTCACAGACTAATTATATTACATTGGACCGTGACACCTCATGTCAGTGAAGATCTAGCATGACCATTGTGTTGAATGTTTGCTCTTGTTCGGTCCTCAATTATTCAGAATTACTTGTTCATTAAAATTACAGATTTCTTTTTTAGCGTGCAGTTGCGCACGGGGGGGAGGAGAAGGAGAGTGAGATTTGAAACTTTGACCTCAAAAAGATAAAATCTTCACTAGATAAGAAGTATTATTAGACCAAACGCCCGTTGGTAAAAAAAAATACAGATTAGTCTTAAGGTTTCTATGCTAATAAAATCTGCCACTTTTAAGGTTACAATAAATTATTTCGGCCAAAATATCTTGCAACTGAAGCAAAACAAAAACTCTATTGGTTCTCTATCAGACGTGATAATTATTCATTGCGTTTTATGGTATCAGGATTGTGTGAGCATCCCCTTTCCGCAGATTGTTAGTATTTATCCCTGTGATCACACGTTGGGCTTTCCTTTCCCTGTCTAGATTGCCCTTCATAGTCCATGAATTTATAATCATACCGAATCTATAAATATGTAGAAGTTGAATTACGCATGTAATTATTATTATTTTATGATTTCATGTTTCGACCATAAAGGAAGCTTGCAGACAAAGTTGCTGCTGCTGGATTTTTGGTGGTGGTCCCTGATTTTTTCTATGGTGACCCTTATGATGTCAACAAGGATCTACAATCATGGATAAAGTCTCATGCCGTGGTTTGTTTCCCAGTACATTGATTTTGTTAAATCCATGTCTAAGAAATCAAGGTGTAACTCTTGATAGATTAAGGACACTTCAAGATCATTCTCCATGCCAAAATGGAAAAATTCCATCAGTCACGTGGCCAACACAAACCGTTGTAAGATGTGAAATGGAAGTTGTTTGTGTGAAATAAAACCATAATCAGGGTGACTGAATAGTTGCTCAAAAAAGGGAAAAAAGAAGGGATGACTGAATATAAGCTAATATGTATTCTTTCCTTAAATGGCCTCCTCTTAAATGTGTGAAGGTAAACAAAAAGGACCTGTTAGTAAGAACTGTGCAAGGCAACACTAAGTTGATAACATATTCAGAAAGAAAAAAAATGCAATCTGGTTTTTTTGGATTCTTTGAGCTTAATATTAGTTTCTTATACCTTCAGGACAAAGGATTTGAAGATGCTAAGACAATAATTTCTGCTTTGAAAATTAGAGGAGTATCTGATGTAGGAGCTGCAGGCTTTTGCTGGGGTGGTAAGACTTTTTTTCTTATCTTCTTTCACATCTACAAAAAGAGCTGCATATATCTTATTGTATTGTTGTACAGGGGACCTAATATGATGGACTTGGCTTTTGAAAGTTGGTTTATTGAATTTATCTCAGGTATGGTAGCTGCAAAACTAGCACAGTTTGATTATATTAAGGCAGCAGTTATATTGCATCCTGGTCCCCTCACAGTTGAGGACATAAATGGTGAGGTTTTCATTATGCAAGCTCACCACACATATGCCCCCAACCACACATGCACACATATACACATCTATACACATGTAATTGATTCCATGTTGTTTCAGCTGTCAAGGTTCCAACTGCACTATTGGGAGCTGAGATTGACCACCTTGCCCCACCTGAACAAATCAAGCATTTCGGGGAGATTTTATCAGGAAAAAATGTGAGAAAGAAATTCTCATATCAGCCTTTTTTATGATTAAGTTGTGAGATTTTATTGCATGCCCAACAAAGGTTGCTAAATATTCCTCTCACTTTGTTTTGATTTCAAATCCACTACATAAATTGATATGCTCTTACATAGCTTAGATAATATGCAGAAATTTTTTAATATTTTATGGAGGAACCTACACCTAAAGTTGAAACTGAAGTCAAAATGGATTGTTGAAACATTATTTCAGCTCTGCAAAAAGGGGTATGGCAGATAAAAGTCTTATATGCATTTTGTCCCTTCATTTTGTAGGTTGATAGCTTTGTCAAGATATTTCCTGGTGTTGTTCATGGATGGACAACGAGATACAAAGACGATGATGAATCAGCTGTCAAGAGTGCAGAGGAGGCTCATGCGGACATGTTAAATTGGTTTATCAAGTATCTCAAGTGAGATGATTCTACGGGAATCCAGTGTTCATGAGATTTAATGGCTGGTAAGGGTGCGAAAAAGGCTCACTCATACATGTTAGATTGAATAATACCGAGTTATAGAATAATATCCTGTGTTGTAAGGGGATGTGTTGATTGTTTATGAAGAATCTTAAGTTAGCTGTTATCAGATTATAGAACACCTAGTGTATGATACATTGGCTTTTATCGTAATTAGATGTGAGCGCATTGTGACCGATATGAAATACTATGAGAGATATGGTTGAAATACTTTGGATTAGCTGCTGCTTTGAAATTCTGGAAGGTTTGAAGATTGGAAATACTTTCAATCATTTACTGATTCTTTACCTTGATAGGAGTATGGTAGCTTGGTTTAATAGTGATAATTAAGGGCTGCTTCTTTGATTGATGGGTTCCCCTCCCCAACCAAAAAAAAAGAGTTTTTTTTGGTTGGGGAGGGGAACCCATCAATCAAAGAAGCAGTTTTTTGCTGGTCAAAAAAGAGGTGGAGGCTAAATAGAGCTGAGAGACTACCCCGATGGACCTTCACTGGTGTGATCATGAGGTCTTTGACCACGACCCATTACTCTTTTCGGGAACGACTTAGGTAGACTAGCATAGCGGTTACCGAGTCCTAATGTAAATTCTAAAACTCAAATTTTCAACCTCAAAAAAGTTCAGCCGGTACCTCACAAAACAATGTCACTTGGACTCTAAAAGTTGACACTATTTGTTGATTCTATCAATCACTGTCATTGATTTAACTATAAGTTTCAATATTTATTAAGATTTATTATCTATTTGATAATGATTGTTATTGATGGAATTAGCGAATTGTGTCAATTTTTGAAGTTGAAATAGTGTTTTTTTTTTAANAAACAATGTCACTTGGACTCTAAAAGTTGACACTATTTGTTGATTCTATCAATCACTATCATTGATTTAACTATAAGTTTCAATATTTATTAAGATTTACTATCTATTTGATAATGATTGTTATTGATGGAATTAGCGAATTGTGTCAATTTTTGAAGTTGAAATAGTGTTTTTTTTTTTTAAAAAAATTTCTACATAGGTCCCAGAGTAGTTGTATTCAGCATGTAATGCTCATGAAGGTGATGGTAAGCCTTGGGCCTCATTTAGTGAGCCACGGCCTGGCCTGAGACTATGTGGCAATTCCATGGTCCAGGACTCCAGGCCAGCCCACCCATTAGGTCTGCCTTCATGACACTTTGACGGGCTACCCGTCAGGCTTGGCCCTAATAGGTCTTTAGCAAACTATCCACCCGGCCGACTACAATGTGTCTTGAAATGGGTTATACAGTTATACATAGTTTTTTTTTTTAATTTTAATATTGGAATTAAAATAATAATTTTTTTTGATTTTCTGAAGCTTGGTGAATTGATGTGCTGGCCTGTGAACATTCTCAATGGGGACCTTCGTGGGCCTTGAACGGGGTAGACTGTTGGACTGATTCAGCCTAAAAACAGGGTCATTGCCCTACCACGTGGGTTAATGGGCCACCGTGATGGACCTTCTCATGATGGTGTAGGCCAGCCTATGGGCCTTAAGCCTTTGAGTACGAAGGCAATAGCATCTGCAAGTAAGAGTATGCTTAACCAGTTTTTATAGTCTTCCCCTTACATACCAAAACAGGTCGAAATAACCAATTTTAATGCTTCGAGAATCTTTTTTTTTTTTAAGCAATGGGTGTTCAGATCAATTTACGCATATTTCGACTAATCACCTACCCGATTTGATCAAAGACAGGCTATCCAAGTCGTGACTAGGTTATTCATGAGAGATAAAGTCATGCCCCAAGGAGTTACTAAGATTCAAATTCAGGACGTCTGAGTTTAAAGTTTGTTTCTATTATCACTTGAGTTATCTTTGGAGTTTTCAAGAACTTTTTTTTCACCAAGACATGAGTGATTCTAGAAAGGTGGATATAGATCTTCTTCATTATATTTTTATTTAATGATAGATCATTTATCATTAATAAACATGAGACTTATACTTTACTAGTGGACCTCATTCATAAATGATAGATGATTTACTATTGAGTAAAATTGATAAAAAGTATGATTAAGAGGACCTCAATACCGAAAAAGGTGTCTGCATGCAAGAAACATATTTCCTAAATGTAGTAGGAAAAGTAATCTTCGGCCTCTTATAAAGGATAAAACTTGTGTTACTTTAATCTAAGGTGCATAAATCATAAGCAAAAAAGGATTTATAGAGTCCAAAGCCAACTTGAATGTAACAAACTTTCGAATTCTAACCTTGCTTCACTAGGCTTCTTCAACTATAAAAGCAATCAAATTTCACCCTTCTAAGAATCAAAAACCAGAAAGCAACACAAAAGCAAAGCAATGGATGCAAGCAGGGCCTCACCAGAAATTCCCGAAGATATTGTAACCAATGTACTACTGAATTTACCAGTCAAGTCTCTCCTGCGTTTCAAGTGTGTATCCAGGCCATGGCGCTCTCTGATTTCCCAATCCCAGTTCACAAAGAACCACCTCAACCGCGCCACAGGATCCAACAATGACAAGCTTGCTAGGTATGGATATCTTGATTTTAAGTCCCACCCGTCTCGTGAATCTGTCAATTTCTGTTCTTGTGAAGTCCTCTCCAATGTTGGTAGAGTCACAAAGTTTGAGTACCCTTTTGGTAGTTATTTCCTTAATGCCGAAATCTTGGGTTCTTGCAATGGCCTTTTGCTCATTGGCAAATCCAGTGAGACCTTATATCTGTGGAATCCATCAACCAGAGAGTATAAAAAGTTCTCTATCCCTTACTCAGATGGCGCTCGTCATTTTCTCTGGGGACTTGGTTTTGATTCCTCTAGTGATGATTACAAGGTGGTAAGAGTGGTTAGGTGCAAATCACAGGCCCCCATTGCGAAATTCTATTCTGTCAAAAGCAATTCTTGGTCTGATTACAGAGACTTCCCTTACAGGACTTTCCACAACCAGGTGGGGATCATTCTGAATAAGTCTCTGCATTGGATTGTAAATCATGCAAAACCCATAAATCAGAACTCTGCCATGAAGGTGATTGTTTGTTTCGATCCAACCATGGAGCAATTCGACGAGATACAGTTGCCTTACTGGGCGGTCAAATATTCAAAAATTGAGTTGGGTTTGTTGGGAGGAAGCCTCTGTATCTCTCATATTCACGATAACTGTTGTGTCTCACTTTGGACAATGAAACAATGTACAGTGAATGAATGTTGGACGAAGCTGTTTACAATACCTTTTCCGTTGGGCTATGTGAAGCCATTAGCTTATAGAGAGAATGGTGAGGTGGTAATGGAGGTGAATCGGAATAGATTAGTAACCTATAAGCCAGTAGATGGTAAGTTTACAAGAGTTCTGCAATGCGACAACAATGGCGGATTCAAAGTGGGTATGTATGTGGAGAGTCTGGTTTCGCCGAAGGGTGAATCCAGTTATACTCATTGATGAGAATGGAGATACAGTTTGTACAATTTCAGTACCTCTTGGTGACAATGATGGTTTGGTGCAACAACAAGCACAGGGGAAGAGAAAAGGAGAGGAGAAGAGATTGGTTAGCTGTTAGATTTTTTAAGTTGCAGCTAGGCAGGGGTGGCAGTCGTGTGTCGGTGACCTTCGTGTCGCGTCATTTTTTGTTCGTGTCAAACACGAATTACTCATAATTTGTATCGTTTAATTAATTGTGTAATGTCGTATTAATCTATTTGTTTTTGGACCATATTTGTATTAACCCATATATCCCGTAAATAACAAATTTAAAGCTAAGTTTTATGTCCATTTATTCTTCGTGTTAACGGGTTATATCATATACAGATTTGTGTCGAGAAATAGTCAATTTTAACTAATTAATTTCAAGTGGATTACGAGTGATGTTTTCATAGTGTCAAAAATTATTACCCCTATAAATAAGGGAGTGTCGATTGTGTCATTCATGTCACTTTTAGTTGTGTTATTTTTTGGGATAGATCATTTTTTTAAATCTTCATGTCAATAGTCATATCAATAATTGACTTATTTATCATTTGTGTTATAACTAAAATACCTATATTCTAACTTATTTTGACTAGTTAATTGTGTTATTCATATTCGTCGTGTTATTTTTGGATTTTATGTCAAGTCGGGATCATGTTAATGACTAAAATTGACACTCTTACTTGTAGTTATTAGATTTAGAAAATATTTTAATTGAGCCTAATTTCGAGACCTAATCAATTGCGACACTTGGATTAGAAGTGAGTTTCAGGTAACATTGAAACTGACTAATTCAAATGTAATTATCGAATTATGCCCCTAAATTAAATCTAGTAGCATTACTCTTAGATTTATTAAGTTTTATCTTTCTCTTTACATTCTTTATTTTTTTCAGTTACAATTTAACGTTCTCAATCATGACTTTGTTCTTATTTTGTCTCATAAACTATTGAATTTTTTATTTTACTCCTTCAACTATTAATATTTATTTCACATTGCCAAAAACAAAAGTTCATAATCTTTTGGGATAATTCACAATTTATACTCTTAATGTATGCAAATAATTTTTATTTAGTCCCCAAAATTTTAATTTAAACAATTAAATTTTTAAAGTTTTAACAGACTTTCAATCCAGTCATTTCATTCAAATCTATTAATTTGTTCTGACAGAAGGACGTCACATGACTTACTCAAGTCATGTGTTGGTTACAGAAGACCATTATGTCATAATAAATTGGTGAATTTGGTGTAAGGACTAAATTGAAATACAATTAAAACTTTAAGAATTTGATCGCTACAACTAAAACTTTAAGGACCAAATAAAAATTAGAAACATACTTTAAGGGTCAAAATTATAATTTATCCAAAATCCTCGTGTCAAGATAAAGTGAAATAATATTTGCATAATTCAAGAGTTAAAATAAAAAAAATTTTATCGAATTTGTAGCTGATGATAATTAGTGGGGTGATGTGCCACTAATAACCATTGTAAAAGGAGTAATGTGAGAAACATGACCGTTGAAAGAAGAGTTTAAATCGAGACCATAATTTACCTAGTCAAAATATAATTTACCCTTGGTTTGAAATGGGAACTATTTTTTCTTAGAGAAACAAACATAAACCTTTGCCTAGGAAGTATCCTTATTACTCCTAGTGTTCTTGTTGCTCATAAAAAAAGAAGATGATGTATACCTACCATGTTATGAAGTTTGGTGGAAACTATTAAACATTTGACTATATGAAATGTGCATAGGCCCCATTGTTCTTGTTGCAAAAAGAACATCTTTTAAGAGCTTTTCGTTCAACATCCTTTTCTTAAGAAAAATAAATCAAAGTCGCTTTCAATCGATTAAATATCTTTAGTCATTCGCTATTAATTTCTTCCACAACTAAAAATTTCATATCTTTCTTTATTGACCTATTTGAGCAAGTTATAGCATTCCTAACATCCTTATAGAGTAAGGTCATTATGCTATCAAAGAAACTAAAAGAAAAAAAAATTAGTGCGTTTTGTACGTATTGAGACTTACNAAAGTTCATAATCTTTTGGGATAATTCACAATTTATACTCTTAATGTATGCAAATAATTTTTATTTAGTCCCCAAAATTTTAATTTAAACAATTAAATTTTTAAATTTTTAACAGACTTTCAATCCAGTCATTTCATTCAAATCTATTAATTTGTTCTGACAGAAGGACGTCACATGACTTACTCAAGTCATGTGTTGGTTACAGAAGACCATTATGTCATAATAAATTGGTGAATTTGGTGTAAGGACTAAATTGAAATACAATTAAAACTTTAAGAATTTGATCCCTGCAACTGNATGTTTCAGAGGGTCCCTTCCCCCCCCCTCCCCCCCAACACACAAAACTCCTTCCCCAACTGAATAAACAATTGATAAAAGATCAAAATTGACAATATTCACAATTTTATATACGACTTGTGAACTTTTTATAAAATCAATAAACAATTAAAATGTTTCTACCAAATTTGTTTGGTAAATAAGTAAATTCATCAGATTTATCAAATAAATAAGTCGACACGAATTCTACAAAATATAGCTTAGGCATGATAAGAAACAGACGCTAAACAAATTTGTCTATATATGATGATAAATAAATTATATGTAATTAAATAAATTTTGATACGATAAGAAACCAAATCCGATAAGACTTATTGATAGTGGCAGTCAAACCATGTAGTGTAGAATTGGGGCCAGCTTGGTTAAGTAGGACACCCCTCTAAAACATAACTTTCCTAGGTCATGAATGTTGGGCCAAATTGGGACCTAGAGAGGGTGCACTGTTGGGACTGAAAGTGGCCTTCACGTTGGAAATTTGACTATTTTATTTCTCAAAAGTCCTTGAGACTATAACAATTACCCTTAGGACATAGACTACAGTACTGTTATGTTATACATTTTATAAGTGAAGTTACAATTGATCTGTAGTATCAAACAATTTGTAACTTTACTTTTGAATGGTATAACTTGACGTCAAAAAATTTAAAAATCATTTGAATATATTTTAACTCAGTTTTGTTCAATAAGAAATCGACCATAATATTTTGGTACCTATTTATATATAACTTGAATAAAAGATTTACTTAGGCGAAACTAAATATGTCCAACCTAAAAAAGATCCACGCCTAGTCAAACTCATTAGGGCTACAAGAGCCACATCATTACGGAGTAAGTAACGCCATCCCAAGAGTCTCATCCACGCCACCTTGGAGTGAGGAGTAAGAAAGTCAATCACCTCATCCTAAGACATGGTCTTGAGGAGAGCTTCGCAACTACCTCATCCGTTGTGAGAATGACGTCAACTCTATTAAATTAGTTTTTAGTTACTAATAAACTGTCTCAATCTGTTAGAAAACACCTATAAATTATTAGTATCACCTACACATGGGGGGTAATTACTTTTATCTCTCTCATAGCTTGTACCTCACTTGAGCTCTCATTGCTCTCGCCTGATCTCTTTATATTCTTACAACAATAAAACACCAGACAATCCTAGTATTTCACAGTGAAGTAAGTTATTATGATCGAACCACTTAAACTGTGTCTTACTTGTGTTGAGTTTCTCTTTATTTTATTATCCACATTAATTACTTGATAGGTGGTATACAAAACTAATTTATGCATCATCAAATCTCAAATATTATGATCGATCATAAAAATTATAAAATTTAAAGATTAAGATACAATGCATAAAGAAGTAATTATAAGTAATTGAAATAATTCTTTATTGATTTTTAATTACCTCAAACAATTAAATTTCACCCTTAAAAAATAGAACTTAACTTTAAAATATAATAAATTTCGATACAGTATATAAAAAAAAAAAAAAAAGTTCCGGTACCGTACCATTATCCATATTTGGGAAGATCCGAATCCATTATTCCATTTAGCTATAAAAAAAAAAAACTTAAAATGTGTGCAAATTCAATTTGTTGAAAAAAAATAAATGCTTGACAGCCATCAAACAAGTGGATGGTGGTCCCTCAAACGGACGGTCAAGATTCGCCTGAGAAACAGATTAATGGGACACAAAAAGCTGCTGCACTATATTATCCTTCACACGGCGAACTACCTTTTGCCCACTCGCCTCCAAGGCATGTGGGGTGCACCTACACTCGCTCCCTTAGGACGACTTTAGTCATAGTCGGACCCCAATATCGTTAAACCGTTGAAAACAATTCAATATGAACCGAATCTGAGACATAATCTGGAGCAAGATTTTTAGAATTATTCTTTTCTCTTTACTAGCGAATTTTATTTTTATAGTTCGTATTTGAATCCATTAAAGTAAAAAATCCAAACTAAATAGTTCAATTTATAGTTGAATTTTAGCATTTTACATAATTTTGTTACATATTTATAAAGAATTGCATGTGAAACGTGATATGACGGATTCGAATTTGAACGATTGATTAAAAATATGAATTCTGTTTCGTCTATTTAGATTTAAAATCAGGTCAATTTCGATATTAGTATATCAAAATCAAAACATGTGAAACGTGATATGACGAATTTGGATTTGAACAACTGATAAAAAATATGAATTCTTCTCCACCTAACCGGATTCTAAATCGGATTAATTTTCGGATCTTGACCNTCTCAATCTGTTAGAAAACACCTATAAATTATTAGTATCACCTACACATGGGGGGTATTACTTTTATCTCTCTCATAGCTTGTACCTCACTTGAGCTCTCATTGCTCTCGTCTGATCTCTTTATATTCTTACAACAATAAAACACCAGACAATCCTAGTATTTCACAGTGAAGTAAGTTATTATGATCGAACCACTTAAACTGTGTCTTACTTGTGTTGAGTTTCTCTTTATTTTATTATCCACATTAATTACTTGATAGGTGGTATACAAAACTAATTTATGCATCATCAAATCTCAAATATTATGATCGATCATAAAAATTATAAAATTTAAAGATTAAGATACAATGCATAAAGAAGTAATTATAAGTAATTGAAATAATTCTTTATTGATTTTTAATTACCTCAAACAATTAAATTTCACCCTTAAAAAATAGAACTTAACTTTAAAATATAATAAATTTCGATAC